TTTTTGTCTTTTTTCGTGACCGGCAACGGATTGCAACCGGTAAGGGGATCTCAACCCTTGGCTTGGTGTTGTCAGCACCACGCTCAGCCAGTGAGCAAACCGGCCATCCCTATATAGGATCCGAACCCATGGCCTTGGTGTTATCAGCACCGCACTCTCCCAAGTGAGCCACAGGCCAGCCCCAAGCAGCCATTTTTTTTTTACACTCAACGGTATGACACATTTCCACAAAAACATTCTCCCCAGGCAACCACAAAATCCTATTATATTTTACTTAGGGAAAATATATATATATACTCCTTCTAGGCTTTATCAATAGCTTTATAAGTGAATGACTGTGCCAGAGAGCCAACCGAGGGTCAGTTACAAAATTATCTTAGTTTAAAAAAAAAAAAAACTCAGGCCGGCCCGTGGCTCACTCGGGAGAGTGCGGTGCTGATAACACCAAGGCCACGGGTTCGGATCCCATATAGGGATGGCCGGTTGCTCACTTGGTGAGCATGGTGCTGACAACACCAAGTCAAGGGTTAAGATCCCCTTACCGGTCATCTTTTTTAAAAAAAAAAAAACTCTTGCCAAAACTTGTTGTGCATTATAATTACACATTTTTTTAATTTACAAGGAAAAATGTGTGATTGTAACAGCCTAACACTTCAGCTATGAAGTATTTGGTGTTCCTTCTAGATAATAACACTGGGATAGAAAAAATTATAAAAACGAGTTGTAATCATGGTCTCTGGTTAAGATTCACATTCCTAGGGCAAATGAGGTAACTCACATTCTTATGATAGAAGGAAAATTCCACATTTAAATAATAACTGTGTTTTCAACCTTTTTTTAATGAGACCTTACAAAAATATCAAGAATTTGAAGAAAAAAATATTTATGTTTAAACGAAGTTTTAAGACTAACCTGTTTTTAATATCAAAGCTCTATGAAATTGTTTTGTGAACAAAAGTTGTATTAGACAAAAGAAGGCCCATTAATTTAAACATGATACACTACTGCCATCTAAGTTATTCAGCTGAAAAATGAGAATTTGACTCAAATTCAGCATTCTGAAAATCCTGATTCAGTCTACAGTGTTTCCTTTTCCTTTTACACTTCCTCCCAAGCAATCTTCAATTTGTGCCAGAATAACGCAGATATCTCTAAGAATAAAATTCAAGTTCAGCAAAGTTTTTTCAGAGATTAATTTAAGACATTAAAATCTGATTCAACCTTAAGATGGATTTCTTTTTTTTTTTTTTGGCAGCTGGTGGGTACAGGGATCTGAACCCCTGACCTTGGTGTTATCAATGAGCTCTACCCAACTGAGCTAGCTGGCCAGCCCCTCCAAGATGGATTTAGAGGCATGATATAAAAATTAAGTATTTCCTACCAAAAGGTGATACAGAAGATGACCTTCAGATTTTATTTTATTAGGGTTATCCACATTATGTCAAGGT